TTGAAAGAAGTAGCCACCAAGTGGCAACAAATGTCAGGTGGCTGTCAGCCTCCAGTCTTTCCTATTTACAACCAGAACTATGCCAACTTTACATCTAAATTGGTGTCTAGACAGGTAACCCACAAAGGGTCAAACACATCTGCTGCATACAAATCTCACAAACAATCTAAACATAGATGTCATTACAACCCTTAAAGTAAGCATAGAGGAGAACCATAGTTTGATGTCAAGAGCAAGGTCAAGCCATGCAAATGGATCCAAACATGACCCAGATAGCAAGGTGCTAGTTGACCATGTCATCTCTCATGCCTGGAGCAATGTGACCTTGGGAAAATACTCTGCCCATGTTCAAGACTTTGTGACCTTCTGCCACTCACAAAACACATCCACATGCTTGCTGGCCTTGGAAGATTTATTGTGTTGCTATGCAGCTTCAATGGCAGGTGCAAAGGCAGGAAAGACAGCAGCAAACAAGATTTCAGGTTTGAGGTCCTGGTATATACAGAACAATTTACCCTGGTCTGGCTCTCTCCAACTGAACACAATGCTGGCTGACATAGGAAACCTCTGCCCTGGTGCATCCTTTTGTGCATCCTTTTGTGCAGAGCAACCACCAGTATCTTTGGCAATGTCAAAGATGTTGCACAATGCTCTGCAATTGAATAGCCCTTCTGACACATGTGTTTGGGCTATTGCCACTGCATCCTTCTGGGCTCAGATCAGATTGGGGGAAATTCTGCCTCTGAGAGAGCACAATTTTGGGAGAGAGGGTGTTCCTTCTTGGTGTAGTTTTAGGATGCCCAACAAGTAAGGTTCACACTCACTCCATCTGCCAAGAACAACACAAAACCAATAGAAAGGGGAGACAGTGATGGTCACCTGACAAATCAATCCTTTTGACCCTATCTTGGCTTTAGAAACCCATGCGTGGGTTAATAGAGTGTCTTTAAACAACCCCCTTGCTTGTTATGTTTTGCTTAAAGGTGACAGAATCAGCCTCACACCTAGGAAACTTTGCAAAGAATTCAACCAATGTCTATTGGGTTCAAATCAGGCTGATGAAGCAACAGCATAGCCCAACGGAGACAGACAATGATGCATAACATAATCATGAAATGATGGATGCTTGCAAGCCATCTACTGGGCACCAAGCTTACTAACAGGCAGACAGCCTCATGAACCAGTCTCTAAAGCAAGTGGCAGCAAGCCACAACCAGCTTGGGAGACATGATGTCATGGCCTGGCCATGATGACCTACACATTACCAGTCAGTCCAGCAGTAAGCCAGCACATCAGTTGGTGCCAGAGGTACTCCCATGCAAAGTTAAAGCCCTTTACTAGAAATGTATTGAGGCCATGGCAGCAATGCTTGTGCAGCACCTCAGAGCAGTGGGGAAAATGGTGCCTTGCAATTGCATGGTTTTTGGAGAACCATCTTGCCTTCATAGTAACTGAGGCCTTCCTCTACAAAAAGGGACTTTGTGCTGGCAGTGTCAAATGGCAATGGAATGTGCATCCAAGTACCACATGTTTGACTCTGACATCCAAGTGTGTAAGAATGTGTAGAGGAGAAGTTATGGATGAAGCTGGAGGATTGGTGGCAGTGGCCCACCTTGCCAAGGTGGCCAGTAGTAAGCCAGGTACTGGTTCCTCACTGATCCAATTTAACACTGGTATTCCATAACATGTAGGATCAATAGTTATGACTTACAAGGTGATTTTGAACAGTACCCATGCTTCATCACAGTACACTGTAGCCATTGTAGTTATGGTGTGGAAGAGAGAGTCTGTTGTTGAAGGATGGAAACTGGTACACATGACCTGATGTTGATAATTTTCTTGTACAGAATTTTAGAATGTTTGTAGTGGAGTACCATCAGTGAATCTATCAAAGATGCCATTAGTCTATCCTCAGGAGTGCCTCCAGTAGTGTGAGCATTTTGAGCTTGTGAACTGCATGGTCCTGTTGGGCTGAAGTGGATAGGTTTGACATGAACCCTGCTGCTCTGCAGCTTTTCCACATTTTTCCTTGGCCAAACATGGCTCTGGCTCCTACACCATTCTTCAATGTATTTCTTACGAAGCAAACGAGCTCATCATGCCCGGGATCGATAGGCTGGATGTTCAACCACAATATGCAAATATTCTTCATACTTCTTGGTGGAGCCTGAGTGAATGAAGATATTGTCTAAATAGATGCGCATAAATTTTTCAATTACATCTCAGAATGGAGGTCATCAACCTCTGAAATGTAGAAGGCATATTGTAGTTGGGGCCTATCTACATGATATCTTTTACAAAGGTTCTGGCTCCGATGGCAAACTATACCTGTCGTGTGCGTTTGTTAACTCGGAAAGATGCTACGAGGTTGCAAAAATGGTTTGCTTGATAATCGTGCATCGCACACGCGCCTAAGTAAAACATGCACGAGTTCAATTATCCGAATCTGTAGAACCAGCGGGACGATACTGCCTGATTAAATAGCTACAAGAAATTCCCCTTGAACATTCGGGCTTCATAATTCCTCGTAACAAATATGATACCCATGTCCGGTCCCACTGCATATATACGAGCCCTCGTAGGCTCAGATACTTCTCCATATATGGCCGCAAAAACTTTCCAGACCTTCCCACTGTGTCCTCGCCCTTTCGCACGAGCTGCAATGACATCCAGTAGCAGATCGACATGTGAGGATGGCAAACAGCATCTGAGATTTTGCAGACGCGGAAGCACCAGGCCAGCCGCCAGTTTGAGCATGAGCGTGATAGGAAAGTTTAAAGTGAAGCCTTCAAAGCGTTCCAGACGAGGCATGTACTTGGCGAGAAAGTTTGCAAGTCGCTTCAGGCGTCGGGAGCGATATATTAGATAGTCGGGTGCGCCCCCTGTCTCGGCAGCTGGAATCAAAGTCTGCGTAATTTGGTACAATCCATCGTAACAACAGAATGTCCTGATCGCGCAGGAAGAAGCTTTGATTACTTGCAAGAGTGGGGTTAGAATCACTGTATGGCCACCGTGCACGTCGACAGACAGATGCAAGAGGGCGGGAACTCTGAAGAGTGCTAGAATCTGGGGGCAAGAGGTCTTGAACTGAAGAGACTTGAGCTGAGGCAAATAAAGCTGCCGTAAAGAGTCCACTTTAGTCTTGTAGTCGTCGGGGTGTATGGCATGAAGCGTCAACATTTCGACTTTTTCAAGATCATAGAGTGCGCAGACCAACTCGCTAAAACGGATTCTATAGCGGTTGTCGGATGAACCGTTTATGCGGAGGACCTTCAGCTGTTTCCATGGTATTCCCAACAAATGAAGACACTCGGGCCTTCCCATTTCGTAATGCAGAGTTATAAGTTTCGGCAAATCGTCGATTTTGGGAAGATTATGGACACCGGTGTCGAAGATCTCTAGACTGAGAGATAGCAGAGAAGCGCATTTTGAGAGGCAAGATTGAAGTGATGCCATAGAAATTCCCGGGCAAGCGAAGCGAAAAATCGTCAATTGAGACCAGGGAATCTCCTTGCAGTGTATCAATGCTTCGGGTGCAGATCTAGAGGGCCCCACAATCTCGAGTGCTCGTAGATTTCGCATTGAACCAAATATCGTTGGATTGTTCGTGGTAACGATGGTTTGATAGACAGGACGCCATTGTATCGTCGTACCCGCGGTAGGCGGATAAAACGTCATTGACAGTTTCTTCAATTTTACCATGCCAGGACCATGGAACAGGAATGGCAGAATGGAAGAGTGGGACAAATTTATCATGAATTCTTCCACATGCATACCATGATAAGGAAGGATCATATCCCAACGTGTTTTTATGTGTACTGGAAAACGTCCAGCATGATCGATGCGCACGAAAGAAATACGGCGCGCCAGCCCCATCGCTTGTAGTGTGTCCAGTAGCTTGAACGGTTTTTTCGTCCCGTCCAGGTCCATATGAAGTCTCCACCAGAGCTTGTCATTTTTAAGGGCAAGCTGCCTCCACTGAGAGCAGACAAGTGTGAGAGTCCATGGCACTGAAGTCATCGACGAAGAGTGTCCAAGAAGCGCGTGAGTAACGGCGGATTCAAAAATTAAATCCAAAACTTCGACTGGGATGGCGGTGACACCAGATAACGCTACATTAGGAACCCAGCTTATTCGTTCCATGAGGCTCAGGAGCTCGTCTCGTTCTAAATGAGTATGTAAGTCAGGAGGATATTGAATATAGCTCTGCCCTGACCTCAGGTTGAGGAAGGCAAATGAGGCTAGCGTTGAAACGTTGAAGACTGGGCTGTGCCTCTACGACTCAGATTTCGAGGAATGAAGGCGCGAATGGACTTTCTATAAAAGCATTCGATCCTCCTACCCTGAATCTGAACAAGGAATGCCACAATCCCCACCACCAGTATCACTAAAACATTCTTTATGACATGGGTTAGCCAGATATATTCTCGAGCCACTGGTTGGCCACTTGATTCGTTGCCTTTGTCTACTCGAGAACAATCGTGAGGCTGAGCGAGTCGTCCTTCAAACATTGTAACCCGTCATAAGCAGTAGGAAACTAGTCACCTTGTTTGCAATACTGCAAGACACCCCCTGCGATGCCCGACGTGAACGGTGAGTGGCCATGGCCAGGTCGAAATTTGGCAGCCGGCCATGGTCGACGTGTGATCAGGGACAGTGTATCAGGCCTGTCTCCATTCGGTCATGCCTCCGGAGAGCCCCGAACAAATCGTTTTGTTTTCCGCAGCTGCTACCTTTCCCTATACATACTTTGTTTGGTACTTTATCAAAACCTCAATCCTGAATGCCTGAGCTGGCAAGTTAATTTAATTGGACCAGGTCTAGTACTTTCCTACTGAGGCTTCGACGTTCAACGTGTGCCAGAATGCCAGGTCCATAGTACCGTCTTGCTCTCAGGTCGTTTTTTTCCAACTCTCAGATGGCTTGATTCACTCCGAGCTAACACTAGTTATATACGATTGGTATTGCAGACAAGTTATTTTTCTTCCATAAAAATCAATGGTGAGATGGCCGAGCGGTCTAAGGCGCCAGACTAAGGTGTTATCTGGTCTCTTCGGGGGCGGGAGTTCAAATCTCCCTCTCATCATGTATATCTGTTTCCCAATCTTTCCTATGCTCCATCATATCTCCGAATTCTGAACACTTGCTCCGTGGTACCGTACCAGTTTTATGTGATCTGAAAAGATTATTCTGTTAGAATATTATCTCTCATGCCCTGACTCCTCATATATAGAGAAGAATATAAGCAAGAAGATCAACCATTTTGTTGCATGTACTAGATTCCGAGATCTAGAATAGATCAAGGTTGTATGGATTTGAGATTTTTTTGTCTTCAAAAATGTTATTCATGTGATCTATATAATAATGTATTCTATCTGTCTCTCTGGATTCTGCAGCAATCTATGACTCACCTAGGAAGAAACTATTGTTGTGGGTCCCTAAGGTTGACTCCCCACTCAAGTTCCTTCCCAGTATACTGCTCACATGATTATGTGATTAGACTCCTCATTAATCACATTGAAACTTAGTTTTACTTTGATCCAAATTGTTATCCACATGATTTTGTCTTCAAAAATGATATTCACATGAATACCAATACATGGGATTTCTTCTGTCTGGAATCTGTGGTTTTGATTTGAATTACATAAACTAAAATGCAATTTGTAGCTATGATACCATAGTATTTGATTTAACCAGAATTTTAAATACTTCCAATCCTTCATGCCAATGTCATCTTTCAAAAAGTATAAAACATTGCAGTTCTTTGAGCCACTGTACTTGGCTGCAATGGCCACAGTCATCCTGATTGATTCTAGTCAAACAACTATGGCATGTCTTTCATCATCATCCTCCCCAAAACACCTGCAAGAACCCCTTTGCCACTAACCTAGCCTTTCTCCTCACAATGGTCCCCTCAGTGTTGTACTTGTTTGTGTAAACCCACTTGCATCCTACTATCTTCTTCCCCACCAGTACCTCATCTTCATCCACCAACTGGATTACCTTCCTCTCATGCATCATTCTCAGTTCCTCCTCCATTGTGGGCACCCATAGATCTAGCCAATTTATTGCTTCCTGGTAAGTCTGAAGTATGTATCCATTATCTGCTTTATCATGTGATGTGGCCATCAGCACTAGAAACATGAATGTGTCACTCACCAGGAGTGCTAGATCCCCTACTATTTTGTCTATAGCTGATACTGTGTTGTCTGTAATGGAGAGTGTGGAAGATGGGGCAGCTTGCTTGCCTCAGAGGTGCTCTAACCTCCTTGGAGTGGGTGGTATCTGTTGTGGATTTACCATGGCATTAGGTATGCTGCCAGGCATGTGTTGAGTGTTTATCTCAGGATCAAGCTCAGTGATCTAACCAGTAATGGCCTTGGTGGTTTCCAACATTGGCATGGCTGGGTACAACAGCTTGCTTGTGTCTTGAATGCATGGTGCAATAAGTTGGCAATAGGTAAGGAGGCCAGGGGCATTTGGTTCTGGGACAGAGGTAGTGTTGGCAAGGAGGTTGTCTGGTTGTTCCATGCAGGTAAGTGATTGATGGCCCATTCCTTCTTCAAAAATTATATCTCTAGAGGTAATAATAGTCATTATTGATACATTGTACAAGTGGTATCCACTCTCTAAATACCCCACAAAAGTGTACTTGACCAATCTAGGATTGAGTTTTGACTTTACCAGTTCCTCCAGGACCTTTGCAAAGGCCACACTCCTGAATGGTCTCAAGTGTGACACACTCTAGTGTTCTCAAGTCCAGAATTCCTCAGGGATTACATCCCCACTGCATGTCATGACCCAATTATTTTCCCCAAATCTCCTTCTCAGCCACTTCTATTCAGTCCAGACATGTCTCAGATGGTCTCCATGTCCCAGATAACTTCCATGTCCCAGATTACTTTTCTGTCTTGGACTGCACCCACTGTCTCTAATTACATCCCTGATTACATCCACTGACTCTGATTATATCCACTATCCCTGATCACACCCAGTGTCTATTCTGAGACCTTCCCTATCTTAGACATTCCTGCTCTTGGCATCTCTCTATCTTAGACTTGTCTGAGACTATATCTTGGCTTCCCCTTTATGTAGTAGCCTACTTGTATATCAGCTCTCCTACTCTGTAGCTACCACCCTAATCTTGACATTACCTGATAACCCCCACCACCAGTTCTGGTCAAGAATGAGGAGGAGTATGAAGTGGAGGAAATCTTGGATAGCAGATTGTTCCAAGGGAAGTTGCAGTTCAAGGTGAAATGGAAGGAATATGGCATAGAGGACATCTCTTGGGAACTGTAGGCTAATGTATGTGCACCAACCCTGGTCCAGGACTTCTATTATAGGCATCCCAATGCTCCAAAAGCCATTTGAGGTATCTACTCCATTTCAACAGCTGACCAGGCAATTCATGACTTCTTCTACCCAGTATGTCAAGATGCTGCATGCTAGAGGGGAGGTGATGTCAGGGGACATCCCACTTGGTTCTCCTTCTCCTCCTCTAGTTCTTGTCAGATTTCCTCTGCTATACTTTTCCTTCATTCTCCTTTCTTTTCCCTATCTATTGGTTCTAGTTTCAGCCCTCAAGCTGCACCAGTTCTCTGTCAATAATTCAGACAAGTGTGGCCCCTTTGACACTGCCACTAGATTATGTAACTGCTGATCAATTGCTGATACATCAGTTCTGTTTTTTTTCTCTGTCATACTATACAGTTGTTTCTCATGCTTCAGAAGCCTCTGAAGCATCACACCTGGCCTAGAGAATCCTCAGACTTGGTCTTTTTGGATTTCCCTTTACCAGGTGAGTAGTTATCTCAGTAGGCACTGTACAGTACTGAATAGACTTTGGATTTCCCTTTGCCAGTCATGTGATTGAGCCACAGCCTCCAGAGGTTGCCCTTACAGTGAGCATGCTGCTATGTATGCCTGTCATGCAGAGCATTCCCCTTATGCTGATCTTGACCTTTTGAATCCCCCCCCTCTGGCATTCCCTTTTAGAGAGGCCCTCTATGAGAATGTCCAAGGTATTAGGTGTGAACCTCAAAAGGAAGAGGAAGGCAAAGGAGAATCCACCAGCACTCTGGACACAGAGTCTTCAGACAAACCCATTGAGATAGGTGATAGGATCTATGCTACAACCCTCTGCCCCCCTCCTACAGTAGCAGAGATTCAGGCCAGTCAGACCACTTTTTAACATCTGGCTGAGGCATTTGCAGCAAACTCCTAGTCCAAGCCTTTTTGTAGCATGGTTCCTGATCACCTCCACAATTTCAAGGATGTATTCTCCTAGGCATCCTTTAACTCACTCCCAGAGCACAAGCAGTGGGATCATGCAATTGAGCTGATACCAGATGTGGATCCTTCCAGCTGCAAGGTCTCTTCTCTTGCACCCCATGAGCATGGTGAGCTGGACACATTTCTACAGAAGAATCTTAGCTCTGGACAGATATGACCCTCTAAGTCCCCAATAGCATCCTCAGTCTTTTTCATTAAGAAGAAGGATGGGTCTCTTTGTCTGGTTCAGGACTATTGAGTCTTGAATGCAATGACAGTGAAGAATAGCTATCCTCTACCACTCATCTCAGAACTTGTCAACAACCTTTGAGGCGCACACTTTGAGGTGCACACTACTTCACCAAGTTGGACATCCTCTGGGCTACAACAATGTGTGCATCAAAGAGGGAGATGAGTGGAAGGCAGCATTCCAAACCAAGTGTGGACTCTTTGAACCTCTGGTAATGTTCTTTGGCCTCACAAACAGCCCAGCCACCTTCCAGACTATGATGAATGACATCTTCTGTGACCTGATTGTAGAAGGTGTTGTTTGTGTGTATCTTGACAATATCCTCATTTTTGCTAAAACCTTGGAGGAGCATTGCTGGGTTATGTGCATTGTCTTGAAATGCCTCTGCCAACACCAGGTCTATTTAAAGCCTGAGAAATGTGAATTTGAGCAGACTAAGGTGGAGTACTTAAGAATGATCATCTTACATGGGATGGCTGAGATGGACTCCATTAAGGTAGCAGGTGTAGCAAAGTGGCCTGAGCCAAGGAACAAGCAGAAAGTACAGGCCTTTCTTGGGTTTGTCAACTTCTACCAGAGGTTCATACAGGATATCTCTCACCATACACATCCCCTCTTTGACCTCACAGGCAAGGAAGCAGTATGGCAGTGGGAGCCCCCACACAGGATTTCTTCCACCATGCACATCCCTTCTTTGACCTCACAGGCAAGAAAACAGCATGGCAGTGGGAGCCCCCACAGCAAGATGCCCTCTATGCCTTCAAGCAAGCTGTTACCTCAAAACTGTCCTCCTTTTTCTGGATGATGACTCTCTCTTCCATGTTGAAGCAGATACCTCAGACTTTGCTATGGGAGCAGTTCTCTCTCAGCAGTCAAAGGAGGATGGCAAGTGGCATCCAGTAGCCTTTTAATCCAAAAGCCTTAATGCAGTAGAATGGAACTATGAGAGCTATGACAAGAAGATGGTTGCCATTATTAGGTCCTTTGAAGAATGGCAGCATTTCCTTGAGGATGCATGGCATAAGTTTGAAGTCTGGACAGACTACAAGAACCTCAAGTACTTCTGCATAGCTAAGAAGCTAAATAGACACCAAGCTTGGTGGTCCCTGTATCTAGCCAACTTTAACTTCTCACTGCATCACAAACCTGGATGAAGCATGAGCAAACCAGATGCATTATCCAGGCAGGCTGACCATGGCACAGGGGCAGGAGATAACAAGGATATTGTCCTCCTCAAGCCTGAGCTTTTTGCTATCCATGCTCTAAAAGGGATTGTGGTCCAAGGAGATAAGGCAAACATCCTCAGAGACATCCAAAGAGAGAACTGGGAGAGTGTGTAAGAGGATGCTGTAGCCCAGGCTGCACAGGCCCTATGAGCTCAATGAGCAAGCAGAGTTAAGTCTGTGCATACAGATGAGTGGGGTCTTCAGGATGGACTTCTGACCTTCTAACAATGCATCTACATGCCTAACATTCCAGAACTTTGCCAATGCATGGTGGAGCAACATCACAACTCTCAAGTAGCCAACACCCTAGAAGGCAAAAGACATTGGAGCTGGTAT